AAGTTGAGTTTTTATTTGAATTCGAGGTTGATGGGTGACGTTTTGCTCTTGTTCATCAAGATTTTTTTAGACGTTTACTGTGGGAGGGGGCTGCGATGTGGAAGCACTTCTTCAACGAATCGACCATCTAGAGGCATGTCTGCGCGATGAAGAAGAGGAACGTAACAAGACCAGTTCCGCTCTTGTGGTACGCTTTTCATTTGTGAATAAGCTCGCATTCTCTTAGTACATATATTTTTTCACATATTTTTTCGTGACAGGCATATATGTCTCGATGTCACTCTTTGGAGAAGAAGATTCGGAATGCGAATCTTTCCTACACCGACATGTCTCTCTCTGCAAAAAACAAGGAGGAAGTTTTGAAACTGGTAAGGCATGAGTCCTTTTGCTCCTGCATGTTTTAGGTTGATTTTCACTTACAGCTCAGTTGATTCTTTTTTTCATTTTTTTTAGTAGAGAAACTTGGAAACTGAGGTTATAGCTTCGCCTATGGAATGTGTGCTCGTTCAATTAATTGGGAAAGTTTGTGTTCTGAGTGCCCTGTTCGATCCATTTGAAGTTTTCGGGATGTATATTTTCGGGTTTTTATCGATTTCCCTATCAAGTCATGTCACTTCTGATTAGAACATCTCAGAGCTGCTCCCAGAAGGTTCAACTAAGCTTGAGCCTAATCCTAGTTCAGTCATCCCGCAGCTCTGGTGACGTCACCTAAGGGTGGATGTCAAACGTCTTTTCGGACACGTAAAATAACACAAAAAGTAAATGTGTGTCATCGTATCTATTTGTTAGTACGGTAATTATTTGTGAGAAAGACAAAAAATGCCGAGATGTTCGAAGTATGGCGGTCGGCAATGGATTGATGACTACTGGCTTGCAAGGGTTGCAGAGTCCGATCCATCAATTCTATTCGGTTCTCAGCTCGTGTCGTTTTGGTTTTCTCTTACTTCTCGATGAATTGAGCAAATGCATCCCGTTTTCAAAATTCAATAATTTTCTTAATAAAATATGAGGTCCTCAGCCGTTTTGACACAATCACGCTTACGGCAGCCCGTATGGCCTGCCAAGGAGTTGCGCTCCTGGGACGATGGCAGCCCATATGGGCTGCCAGCTGATAATCGCTTGGCGCTAGGAATGGACAGATAGGTGGGCAAATCTCGTAATCGAGTGTAAAATGCTTTTAAATTCCTTCACGGGGAAAGTGAATAAATGCTCTCTTTTCGTTACCACTATTCGTCGTTTTGATCGAAATCCTACTGTTATATGTTTAGACCAGTTAGCTTATGTAACCAGATTAGTCCCCCGTCAACCGCCGGGACCTTCCTTTCCTGCGCAAGCTTTCTATCCTCCGCTATGGTCCCTTCCTCCTGTGACACCAACACCTCGGAAGTGACGCGTATGCAACACAATGGTGTTTCATACAGTAGAAGGGACACAATCATGATATGACGGTAGATTTTTCGCTTCCCTTCATCCTCCCTTCCTCTCTCCACTGCCCTCCAGCTGCCACTGCAGCACCATGTGGAATGAACGGAAGTGTGCTAAGCAGGTGTTTATATAGCCCTAAGAGTGTTATCACAACTATCCTGCTAAACATTGATATCTCAAATCCTGTAAGCTACCCGATTTGTTAGCGGTTTGTTTATCCCATGAGCTTCCTTCTCACTCACTTCATTTTGCGGACGGACACACATACATACACACACACTCACACACACACATACAGATACACAAACCGACACACAAAGTTAGCGCTTTATATAATAGAAGGATACCAGTTGAGCTTCCGCACGCTACCGCGCACACCAAAGGCTTGGGCAAAAAAGTCGCTGAAGCGTTAGGTTTACCGGTAAGAAGTAAGTTTCTCAGTGAAATGCGTTAGCTGTCTCTCCGATACGCGCGGATATGGAGCTAAACTGGTGTCTGTAAACAACCACCATGCATTAAATGTCAGAATAATTTGGCGGTCGAATAACCTTTGACGCTAATGATTTGAAATGGAAATACCCAGTACTCATTATCATGTTTATCCAAACATCCACCGTACATTTTTAGGAACTCTAGGGAGTGGAGCGGCCGAATGGTATTTTGGGTTAAGGATAACAACGCAAAGAAATGTTATTGAAATGAAATGCGTTATCTCGAATCTGGTTTTGAGTGACCTCTATGTTCTACGCATCGTTGTTATCAGTCCTTATCAGCCGTTATCCCTTTCTGTTCCACCAAATATGTTCCCGTCCCACCCTCTACATCACTTCTTGAAACCAACGCCTCACTGCTGCTGGGACGCGCTTATGAATTTCGTGAAATTTGCGTTTAGCGCCTCTTATCAGCCCTTATCAGTCGTTATCACTTTCTGTCCCCACCAAATATGTTCCCGTCCCACCCTCTACATCACTTCTTGGAACCAACGCCTCACTGCTGCTGGGACGCGCGCTATGAATTTCGTGAAATTTGCGTTTCAGCGCCTCTTATCAGCTCTTATCAGTCGTTATCACTTTCTGACCCCCACCAAATATGTTCCCGTCCCACCCCTACATATACTAAAAATACAGCTTCCACGTTGCAGCGAAGCGCGCTATGAATTTCGTGACAAACAGACGCACACACACAGACATACTTAGCGAATTATACAGGGGGGGGGGGCAAAAAAAGAGTCACTTCTCTCCACATTCAAAACGCAATTAATCTACGAACTGCGAAACCAAATCAAATGAGCCCAATTGCATATTAAAGAGCACATTCAAGTCTATCAAAAGGCTACATAACAGCCTTCTACACTGACGACTTCAGAAGATCGTCGTCGAGGTACCATAGACCATTACGACGTCCCTGAAACGCTGGTCAAAAGCGGTCTTGCACAGTCACAGCTAGTGTCTCTGGGAAGCTATTCACCAGTTAATCGATTGAAGAAATTATGTAGCAGCTTCAGGCCGGAGCGATTACGGTAAGCCTCGTTGAGCTCGACGGTGACGGCAGATGACGTCATATTCTGAAGACGGTGAGGGCAGTGAAGGAGGGCTGCTTCTGCTTATGGGGGGACACCTAAGGAATATTCTGCCGTAAAACATTCATTAACAGCGGCATCCTGTGCGAAGAAAAATTTGATGATGTGCGCCATAGGCAAAGTGACTCTTTTTTTTTGGCCCCCCCCCTGTATATAGTAGGATAATCTTTACGCATTGGACATTGCAGAAATTATTTTGTGACATTCATGTTTTTGTTCATTTACAAACAAAATCCGCGGTGTGTGGTGAGGCGGCGGCGCCCACAAAATCGCGTCCGTCCCACGCGACCGAAAAGTGGGAAGGGGCGCCGTCGTGAATGTGTTAAGAAAAAAATTATTAAAAATTTTCTGGATCCATGATCGACTCTCGATTAATCTCGGCATGGTTGTAATGATATTCAGCTTTTGTTTTAGCCTCCGTACAGAATTTTATTGGCTGACATTTTGGCAAAATCGCCTTCGTCGTAGCCTGGAAAGAGAGTCGAAGAGTACAAGAGTTTCCTGACACCACTTTTGATCTCCCACCTCTTAGAAACTTCTCCTGTAACCTGAAAGGTATTTAAGTGATCGTGTTCCACATATATGTTCGATTAACTTTCCAGGCTCCGACGAGGTGATTTTGCAGAAACGTCAGCTAATAAAATTCTGTACCAATCTCGGAGGCTACAAACAAAAGCTAAATATTTGAAAATTATTAAATTTTGAGACATATGGTCAGCAGATCGTTTGCTGATCCTGTGCTCATGAACCCTTAGTTATTATACGCATTATAGAAATAGTATGTTTTAGGTAGAGAAAATTCGAGACGTCCTTCGAACTCTGGGTAAACAAAACAAGGAGTTGCGCAAAGAGTGTACTTTGCTCCTGGGTTTGGATGATCAGAGCGGATTAAGCCCCAGTTCGAGTGCTGCCTTTGAAACGCCTGGTATGTCAGAAATGTGGGTTAATGAGTAAGTTCGTAGCGCTTCAGTCATGCCTTCTCAAATGTAACGCCTGATATAACGTAATACAATGAAGCTGTTCAGAGGTTCTTATCTACTTTCCTGTTCCTCACAAACGTTCTCAGAGCATGTTTTTTTTTAAACGCATTTTTGAAATTCGAGCTCAAACCGGCCTTTCCTATCATGCTTCGGAGTAATTTCAGCATCAATTTGCCTGTGGCCTTTACTTCTCATATGGTACAGGCATATGGAACCACTTTGGAAACTTTTTGGTAAAGAATCCAAGAGTTGCCGAAAACACCGATTTTCCCCGCTTGAATATTCTCCTGTATGAATTTAGTCAGAATGATGAAGAAAAGCGAAAGGCGTGTTTTGGTACAATTGAATAGGCGCTTTCAGGCCAGTTCATTTTCTGATGAGGCGAACAATTAAATGAATCTGAACACAAAACAAGAGTGTTACGAACTTGTTCATTGTTCCGATACTTCATGAGTTTTTTTGATCCTATATTGACTTTTCAGAGCGAAAGAACGTCTCCGGAGTGATTGCAGAGAAAAGTCGTCTGCTCGCTGAAGATTTCGAAAAGAAGGTACTGCTTACAATCAGATTCGAGTGAAGTTCAACTGGATGTTTCTAAAGCTTTTCATTTCTTCGACTTACCGCTGATCCGCTACTAAATGTCCTGTGCTCCTACAGCATCAGAAGCTATCAGTACACCACAAAGTAGAAGTTTTCTGATCTTCCGTAATCCCTAATTCCCTTTTCAGCAGCAAGAAATCCTGGACAGTCTCAAAGCATTGGCGGACAATGTCACAAACTTCGACGAGAGTGTTCTGAACATCTTGAGGGACATAGGTAAAGGATTGTTTCATTTTCGTTGTTTGAACTTTGAGTTGCATCCGATTTCTTTTTGAAGGGCAATTAGTTTGTTTTTACCAACTCTCCAAGCGAACTTGTGATTCCTTTGGCATTTGGGTCGCTAGATCGATTCACGACAATGATTAAGATAGGATGTGGGTAGCGCTAAGTAGAAGAGCTTTGATAGGCTTTGTTTGGAGGAGCAGCCTTGTTAAGGATCGGCTGAATATGCCTGAAATGGTGTGCAGAAGCGATGCTGACCCAAATGAACGGATGTTTTTGCTCAGGCTCGGGGGAGGTGGTAGGGTGGGAAGGAGCTCTGCAGTGAATGATCCATTGAAAATGCGCAAAGTTGGATAGGATTTTGATGATGTAGGGCACTGTACTGTTCCTTACGTTACTTCAAATGAGCCTGTTAATTCTTATCTTTATCGCTAAATATATCATCAGCACCAGAGCCGCAGAGCCGCATGGCATGTCCCCCCCCCATCTAACCCATTTCCCCTCTGAAAGAGTTGTATAAGACAGGTGCTACCATAAGTGTCATATTTCTTCCGGTCTTTTCCGGTAGCGAACGAGCCTTCTTCGGTGTTGGAATGTCTTTTCAATTCTGTGGTGGCCAAAATGGGCAAATTGGACTAGTGTTAGATGATCAGGGCGGGTCAGATCTTTACTTAAGCGTTCAAAATTAAGCGATGTGATATCTTGTGGAGTTTTGCTTGTCGTGCACCTGGCCGCAGAGGACCGTGTGATTGCAAAAAAAATCATCATTATCTTGTCATTAAAACCGATAACGGAGGCATGGCGTAATTCGCTGCAGTGTCTGAGAAAGATAGGGGTAAGAATGACCAAGTAAGATATGTAAAGAGCACTGCATCAAATTTCCAATTCGTAGGGTTACAATTTGGCTAGCAGGCGATCCGACTGTTGTTCATCATTAAACAAGTGACCATGAATTGAGAAAAGCTGAAAAATTTGTCCCATAGCTGCATATTCTGCTCCTAGCAGAAAGGGAAGGTCAGTTGTTCAGTCCGACCATATAGCACGTTGGCGGCGATGTCAGTCAATGGTGACCGACGTATTGTAGCTTTTGCAAATCATACAAAATTCTCGATTTTTCTTGTACGAAATTCCGAATATATTCCCCAGTTTCAGTGATAACAATTCATCGTTGCGTTCTCAAAGGCAACGTCTGGGATTTCTGGTCTAAGTTGATTCTTTCTCCAAGAGGAATGCAGTAGTACGCAAGGGGAGCATGTACAAAGCTCTCGAGATAATTTGAGAAGCCGGGGCGCCAAATCAGAGGGATACGTCATTGACCACTGAAAACCGCCCGCCCACAGTTCCGTGAGACCTTACAGGCAGATTTCGAGCAGCAGGCAGGTTTCTGTGCTGGATTTTTTTCTGTGGTGCCGACTGATGGCGGCGAGCCAGTAGTTGCTGAAAACACTTCCAGACACGTCGTTTTCCCAGCCCTGTCCTGTAGCAACGAGTAGTTACTCATTTTAGACTTCTGGTGGTGTTTCTGCTTTTTTTCAACTTTGATTCACTGAGCCTGCATGGCATGTATAGCCCCTTTCAAAAACGAGAAAAGCGTCGGGTGCAGACCATACACCACAAGTGACGACGGCCTCCAAGTAAATCTGGTTAGTAGTGGTTCATAGTGATAGCTGATTTGGTAAATGATAGTTGTAATTAGTGACAACTGATAGAATACAACTGCAACAGGCTAATCATTTCATTGGCAGAAAACACATTTTGTGGAGGCCGTCGTCACTTGTGGTGTATGGTCTGCATCCGACACTATTCTCTCCGACTTTTTTTTTGAATTGGAGTATATGTGAACACCCAACTCCCTTAATTTTTCTCTGACTTTGCTGCCTTCCAAGTATTTCAATGCTTTCAGTCACAATCCTCGATCGCAATCGAAATTCCAGAAAGACGGAATGATACATTAGTAGTTAAAGTAGCTTGAAACGTGC